AGCAATTCTCACAAGTTGCTTCAGGGTTCCACGTAGCTAAAATAACTCTCCAGCTTTCAGTTCCTAGGATCTCAACATTCAGTGAAAAAAAATCGTATTTTACTTCTATTTTATTTTAAAATTATTTCATGCCCCACTAGGTCTGCAATACTAGGTACAGCTTCTTGCCTTTATCTAAGGACTGCTTCTGGGAGAGGCTGACAGCCCACACGTAATACTCCCTAAGAATCGAAAAGTTTCACATGAAAGTTATCTCCCTGAAGAATGATGAGTCCAGCTCCAAGATAGCTCAAGACAAATAGCTCTGTGCTACCCTTTATCCTTGCTAATTTAGAAAGACTGAATTTCAATGGACACAAACTTTTGATAAGCCCTCTTATTTGTCTAAAGTAAGAATTCAAAATGGAAGGCACAGGAATTCAAATACAAGAAGGATCCCTAATGTATACCCTCAGTAAAATTAACTTCAGTTAAAAAGCAGATGCTGTGCTCACTTCAGCAGCACAGACACTAAAATTGGAACGATACAGAGAAGATTAGCATGGCCCCTGAGCAAGGCTGACACGCAAATTCATGAAGCATCCCATATCTAAAAGAAAAATAAAATAAAAAAAAAAAGCAGATGCTTCTGCATTCCTTTATAATGCTACTGCATTAAGGTACAATAACACCACCGTAATCCTTTTAATCTTAACAGCAGATTGAAACAAACAAATCCACTTCCTGGGGTCTTTAAAAGGATTGTTTTTTCATCAAATTCTCAATCCTCCTGTTTTATCACGAAAGCAACAGAGAAATTAGCTGGCACGAGATCCTTCCCAATAGGAACCTAATATCCCTTTCTCTGAGAGTTTTTTTTTTTCCTAAATCAGTTTCTGTTTTTTGCTGTACCTGCTTTACTCTCTAGCCTTCTCCTCTTCTGATGAAATACATTAGGCAGTCCATAATCTCCCTACTACAAATTACCTTATTAATAATATTAGCATTATACTTAACATTTAGCTAGTGCTTTTACTTTGTGCAAACTGCTCTCACGTCACCTAATCCTCAAAACCACGTAGAGGGAACAGGTTCAGACAGGTTACAGGCTAGTAACTGTCCATGTTTTCCAGCTCCAGGGGAAGTGCTTTTCTCATTAAGTATCACAACTGCAAACAACACATTACACAGTCCTAACGCAAAGAATTTCTTTCCAGACACATTCTGCTATGTATCAGTGGGCAGAGGCAGAGTCAAAGATTCTGATTTGTAAACCTTTGCATCTGGATTAAGAATCCTGGACACTGGTGTAGGAGACCCTGAAGGACTAAACTTCTCCACTGTAGCCCTCACAGCCCGGCCTGTCCTCCCGTGCAGGAGCTGTTCCTCCCCACCCCGCCTGCTCATGACCTTCCTCACCCATCTCGACGAATCCAAACTGCCCAAACAATGGTTGCTAATTCACGAGAATTTGGTTTTTGGTCAGTTGTTCCTGACACGAGCTAGACTTCACTGACTTCTCCTGCTAAAGCCCTATAAAAATACCCTCCTCCTTCCTCACCTTAGAACACTCCTTTCAAGAAGTCTTCTCATGCTGGCATTTTTGGATTAAGGCTTAATTCAGGAGTGTTTTTCTTGTTACATTCACAAACTGCCCAACAGCTGTTAATATAATAGTGGAAGGGAGTGTGATGGAATAGAAGGTGATATAGACTATATGAAGGCACCTGGGTCTGTCACTTAAGTGCTCTTGTCCATCTGTAAAACGTGACTAACACCACCCATTCCACAGGGCTGAGAAAGAAAAACTTTTTATCTAAGGAATGCAAGCCCCCTTTAAATTATCAGGCCCAGAGAGGCACTGGAATGTGACAGCAGTCACCTCCCCCACTCACCCACTGGCAAAGCAATCATTTGAAGCTGCTTGTTATGTGGGCCCTCGACTGACACCACAAACAGCTATTATATAAATTAACTTAACAGTGTCATATAGTGAACACCATAACTCATACCCTATAGTTCTATATGTAGCCAATTACTAATCAACGTTATTTCTGTAAACCAAAGAGAATTCCAGAAAAACAACTTTTGTAATGGCCTCCTCTACTGATTTGGCCTTTTTTCTTTAAAAATTTGAGCCTCTCTTTTGTTCTCCAGAGCACTTCCCAAGGTACCTTGGAAGTATTTCCCTAGCTGCAGTCCTCAACCTTGGCCCAACTAAACTCCCTAACTGTATTATTAATATTTTGCCTCAGTTTCTTTCTTTAGGTCGGCAGGGTCATTATAGGGAGAAATGAGATAGTGTTTGTGAAAATACTATCACACAGTAAGCATTCGGAGAATACTAGTTTCTCCTCTTAGAAGAATAATTCTGGGACAAATGTAAGGACTATCAAGGGCACTGTTGGTGTCATCGTGTGAGAGGCAACCAAGAGTCAGTCTACTTTCCTCTCAGCTAATTTCCCAGGACAACTGCTTTCAGTAATCCCATTAGACTGAAAACTCTGGAAGGTAGAGACCGTGTCTTGTCCCTGTGTAACTTCTGTCCTGGCACACTGCCACCACACAATCAATACTTTCAAATGCTTGAAAAATGACCCCCACATCACCTACTGCAGGGCAAGCATGAAGGCAGGAGCTTTACACACATTAGCTAACTTCATCATGATCACAGTCCTGTGAAATAGGTATTATTAACTCTATTCTGTAGATGAGGAATCTAAGGCTCAGACAGGTTAGGTAACTTATCCAAAGTCACAAAG